CAATGGACTATAGTCCTACGAGGGAGGAGTCGTAAGTCGGTCCTGACAATGCCTACGCTGTACTTTCGTAGACAAAAGACGAAGCTCCGGTTTCGTCGATTCGATTGTAAGTCGACAGAGCCAGTTGCGTTTCAAACTGTGTGGCGATCGTCCATGGGAATGTAATGTCACTTGTTTGGGAGAGGATTCAACTCAATATGGACGAAGTTTCTCAAATACAGATATAAATATCTTTTTATCGATAAGATGAATTATATTTCCTTGTACTGTTAGTAACAAAGAAATTGAGCCAGCTCGTTTTGAATTTTGTCTCCCTAGGGGAAACTAACACATGCACGTAGCTGGCTCAAGTTCGTTGTTACTAGCTGTACAGGCAAGAAGAATCTTATACGTCGCGGCGTTTCGTTATAAACCATAAAAAAATAACGATCACCTCGTTCGTTGCTGCTCTTGACAAGTGCGTATCGGCTACTTTTACCGTACTACTGATACCGTAAACTCAATGGAACATACCTGTTAATGGATAAACGGAGTTCTTTTATCAGAGCGTACATCTCGGTTGAGAGAAGGACCCGTGAGCGAGAGAGGAACAGGAGTAGGAGGTGGTTTACCCTTACGAGTTTACGATGTACGACTCGGCTTAGGAGCGTATGATTAAACAACTCAGGTGTTTTATGCTCGGCTCGTGGGAGATCGCGTGACCTAACGGCCACATCCGTTTCCGCTTCACCTACGGTCAACCGCTTCGACCCCTGACCAATGGTTCGCCTTAAGGGTTGCACGTTACCTTCGACCACGTAAGAAAGTATACTTTCGACGTATCTTTAAGTAGTAATCGGGTTCGCGCTCGATAGTCACGTGCTGGCCCGGTCGAACCGCGTCGTCGCGCCGTGCTGGCTCAACCTTCCCGGCGCACCGCGCCGTAGCCAGCCTTTTCTTTTTTACACTTTTTTATTCAACGACCCGCGCTCGCGATACGACTCGCTTACACGGTAAAAAAATTCTATTTTTAATGGTGAATCATATTTTACATTCAGTAAGGAACGTGTAACTCGCTCGTGGGCCGATTAATCCGGACGGTGATCGCACGAACCTTCCCTGCTCTCGTGTACCTCATTTGTATCCGAACCAGACGCGCGATACGTGGATATCGGCCGGAAACAACGTTAACCCGAGACGGAAGCGTTCGCCGAGACGGGAGAAAGGTCAGGGAAATGCCGCAGTCTGACATTAACCAGACGAAAATGCCGTCAACCTGTTTCGAAACTTTAACGTGATCGAACAGGAACGAAATGAACCTACGCCCGATGTTATAATACTTTTGAAACCGATCGATGCGTTGATTGCGGACACGGCTTGACGGCGTTCGCCGTCGAATATCCCGCGAATAATTCCGACAGTGAAATTAATTAATTCGCTAATTTCGGATTATCGGAACGTGGCTACGCATGAAACGTCTCTCGCTGATATTCAGAGCCCAACCGGGATCCGTTAGTTTTCCGGGAAATTAGTCAGCGTGATTTGCATCTGACGTACACCTCCAGGCATCTACACGTCGCTCGCATAGTTCGCTAAACTCTCGACTTTCCACTCGGATCTCCTCTCTTCCGCGGAAGTCTCAACGCTCCGCTGCCATCGCCCTCGCGTCAATTACGCTCGTCACGGGATGGGAATTTCGCGGGAGAATCTCCCTTATGGGTATAATGGATACATTTTTCGTAAAACCTACAAGCACCGGTTTGCTATTTCAAAAATGCTGTACGTAGGTACGTACGTATTCTGCGTAGAAAATGAGTAAGCAAATGATCAACTGGCAATTATTAAATAAATTATATTTGTCGTCGATTTATGATATCGTGGAAAAGAGAGCAGAAGAGGCGACAAGCTGTAATTAACTGGAATTTATTGCACGAGTCCGGTGAGAAAGTACGGGGCTCTAAATCGCGGCTTCTCGATTCTTGCGCCGATTATCTTCATCCGCTGGATTCACCGAGGTGTCTCGATTTAAACACAGACTCGAACGAGCCCCGAGCTTAACTTGGTTGTTGTGAATAAGTAAGCGAAGTGTTGCGAAGTACTGCAGAAGTTTAGCGCGAGCCTCCACCCCGCGGGCACACGGTCGGGTTGGCTCGAATTAAATTGTTATACGGATGAGCTGCCACGACGAATACTTCCCAGAAACCGAGCGACTTTCCCGCCACCCCCGGGTGTGAATGTTTAATTACCATCCCTCGCTATATTTAATAAAATAATATCGTGCCTCAGAAACTATGCCCATACTTCGACGAGCGAAGATCCCTTGAAAATTTTCCACCGTCTTTCGACGTATTATTTTAAGCGACGCATCTTTTATCTCAAATATTGAAATATTGTATTCGGCGTTAATAAGTCGTCAGATATCTTACCTGTAATTACACTGTTGACAGGCGAAACATTCCAAATGATAGACGTTCGTCCTTGCCCTCATTACCATCTCGAAGGCTGGAATGCTCTTATTGCAGGCAGCGCAGTGGCCAGTGTGTCCGAATAGTCTGCGCAAACAAAGGAGCGAAAACCGTGTTAACTAATTTTACCATGACAAGAGCGTTGAATGTTTTCCGACGATATTGCCATTGCTTCTTCTCCCCAGTACACTATTACGTCGTTCGACGACATTCGAGTGGTACATAGACTTTTGGTTCGTGTAGAACGAGAAGCAATAAACCGACGAGGACCAGGAATATGCCATCCTCAAATATTGGGCTATTAATAAAGACCACGGAGGTTCGATAGCGAGTGGGCTCTTTACAGACGCGCGCCACCTGCGCATGTTCCCCCGGGGCTTTGTAATCTCAACACGGTTTATTTGCCCTCGCCTGTTTATACAGGATGTGGATGTATTCAATAAGGGAAAGTTATCTGTAAAATTCGATTTGTTGCGTCCGTTAGCTGCGTCAAGTGTGCACAAGCGTCTCCTCGTTCCCTCTTCGCGACTTATTGACGTCCTGGTGCCGGTGCACCAGAGTATAATGAAATATGAAAAGCGCCCCGAGCGAAATGGAATTACAATTTGATGGTTTCGCGATATTTTCGTGACTCGCGTTAAAACTTACTTCAAATAGTCCTTCTTGCAAAGTATGAGATTGGACCTCGTGAAGAGCGACAGGCCGACGTCGACGAGTCTGCACTGGCAACTGGTGCACTTCAAGCAGTCCTCGTGCCAAAACGAGTCCAATACGCTTAGGAAGTACCTTCGATTTGAGGAAAATAATTTTTGTCAGTTGTTTCTAGCTCCTTTAAACGCGGCCTCAGAAGCCGATAAAGCTGTTCACCTTTCCGTGATCACTCCGCCGCATCCTCCGCATTCTCGTTGCACGGGTCCGTTCTTGTTTGGCTCGGTTTTGGCCACATCCATTGTACGTCACCCCTGATCCTCTGTAACACAACAAAACCTCGGTTGATCGTCGACAGTAATTATACAAACAAACGGGTGAAACGAATAACAATAACACGGCGAATTAATTCAATCGAGCGATGATTATTTCGACCGTAATCGAACAATTAATTTCGGGTTCTATCAGCTCTGGATTAACCGCGGTACATTATCGCGTCTCGAACGCATCGAATCGAGACGATGAATAATCGCGTTTTCGTGGTTTTAGCAAGTTTCGACGGCATCTGGCCGACTAGAACCTCGAGTCGGCTCGTCTATGAGCAATTAGAGTTACAGGTTCAGAATTTAACGGCACGCGGTTAGTGCCATCTGTGTCCATCCCCGTTTTGCGGGGGTGGACCTTCTCTCAATCCCACCGTCCTCTGTCGCCTCTTTCTCGCGCGATGCGGTCAGAGTTTAGATTCGAATTAGTTTGACCCTCTCTTCCCACCACTTATTGCACGTTTAACCGGAAACGGTTCTGAAACAACCAACCCCCGAACGACGGCTGCTGCTGCTGCTGCATGCCGAGCGATAAACATTAATTGTTTTCGTCCGAAGACGTATATCCGTGTGCACAATCCGCTGCTGCCCGCTTAAACAAAATTTCGGAGTTTAACGTTTATTTAATCGAGCCAGTGTTTGCTTTCTATCATTCTACATTTTCGTCAGATCGTTTGCGTTCGTCGGAATGTGAGAATATCATAGCCGGCAAATGAATCATATAACAAAGTGCAAACATATAACTAACAGTATTTGACGTAACAGTTCTCATCTCTTTTCGTGTATAGTTTATTGATTTATACGTAATTGAAGTTAGAAAAACGCGCTGCAATTCTTTTTGTCCTTTTACGATGAACTTAGATTCAGTCCAGCGAAACGTTCAGTTCGAGCCAGCTTGTATACGTGTATTTACGAGTACCCGCGGATGCTATGAGCAAAGTTTGTGCGGTTTCAATATGTCCTCTTCTCTTAGCCTGGACACAATATTACATGGACGTTAATATCTTCTATGCGGTTGAGACTCCGAAGCAAATATTAATAACCACCGTGCCTTTGATACGTTAATTATTAAAGACTGGAATATTAGAAACCCCGTGTGTTCGGGACAAGTTCTGGCTCCCGTCGAAACGATATTAATTTCCGATCCCTGTTAGACCATACGAGATTTCTAATAACAGAATTTATTGTTAGCAGGGTGGTTAGTGGTCAAATAACAGTCCTTTCTTGTTTCGAAAACGTGGCGAGGCGTCGCCTCAAATTCGATAGCTATATCGGGGCGAGTTAATTAATCGTATTGAATTCATTGCGTGCTGCGGTCGGTTATCGATACATCGAATATGATATAAATAATGGTACAATTATTATGCGAACACTCCTATGAGTGCAGTGATTAATGGAATAACCAACTAGCCAGGTAAATTATGCAAACTATTAAATTCGAATACACGCTAACTTCCCCACATAATAATCGGCTAACGATCGAATTTCTGGTTCCGAATTTATGCCAGTTAATATATTTCGTTGCTATTACAGTTTAATTAAAGACACCGTTAATATGCCCGACGGAAAGTATTAGAGATGCGAATTGTTTATCACCGATACCGCGTATGGAATTCAATACGTCTAACCGATTATGTGATTTCAATTTGAGTACCCAGTTCCCATTGCACATAGCCTAGGACAAAAAGGGTTATAACGTCGTATTGCGGTTCCTTTGATACTCGAAACGCGAAACGCTTATCCTACATATTATAACAAAAGTATTTTCAGCTTAGGCATACCGGAATTCGACCGCAGAGATTCCTGCGGGGGCCAGCTTGAATACCGGCGACGAACCTCGAAAACCTTCGCCAACCCCATGGGGTCGCTCAATTTCCATTTTGTTCCGCAATTTTCGTAGCTTTCCACCTGACGGACGACAAAACGCGTTGCCAAATATCGCGATAAATAAAGTCGATCTCGAACGATTCGTCGGTGTAGATAAAATATCTTCTATTAACTGTGTAATCCAAACAGCAAGAGTTCCGATTTCATTTCTTATTATACATTAGCCTTGATTATTGAAAAAACTGTAATTACGTATGTGACTAATCAGGAAATTTTCAGTGACGAATCGCGATATAGTGACTTCGATTGAGCCGCTACTTCGCGAATCGTCATGTGGAAGAGTTCTAATGCGGCCAGCGGTTTTTCGTGCCTCGGCTCGTGGCTTTAATTACTCGGTTAGAAGTTGCCGTTGACGAAAAGCCAACGGAGCACAGTGGTAACGGTTCGTTGGAACGCAATCGCGAAGGGTCCATAACGAGAGAGAGAGCTTTCCCTTCGGAAGCTGCGCGCATCGCTGGCGATCTGTTCATCAGGTACGTGATCAGATCATCCACGGACGTTGCTCCTCAAAGCGACGATAATTCGATTATCTCTCGTACATGTTCGACGTCCGCCAACATGTCCTCCAATCGGTACATCTTCTTGGTTACCCATCTTCCTGAATGTAATTAAATTACTTCCACGTAATCTGTGCCCGCCTCAGATACCACTTATCCATTGAAACACCGTCGTTTCTCTGACTTCGTTCAACGGCGTCGATTCATTTCAATTACATAATTACTGCCATTTATCCAATCGTGATTGAAACCGTCTATTTGTTTTAAAGAGGTGCAGTTCGTTTGCTTTGTGTTTCGTCGGACGCCGTGTATCTCGGGATTAAATGCTCATTTAAAATGAACGAGATCTGGGAAGGAGATGGCGATGATAAAGACGGCTGATAAAGCTTTTCTTAGAAGGAAAAGCGTGGAAATGCGGTGTCTCTATTTATCGACGTAACTGGGCAGTCTCGATGCAGTTCTCAAGGCTCCGCCCTCGCAGCATCCGTGACACTCCCAGCGTACCACCCCTGCAGTTTCCTTGGTTGAAAAATAAAATTTTCCGTGTTTTCTTCACGCGCGCGTGAACATCGCGGCGCATGCATTGCGCAAAACCGCCGTTTCACCTTTGATTCTCGCCCGCTCCTAAGAGGAACGGATCCCGACTGGAAAAATTCCCGGCCGGCTTTCTGGCCCGCGACCGGACGCTTTTGTCTTTAATAATGCTCCCGCGGAAGCGTTATCTTTTACTTTTAGGACGAGAGCAGGGGCATCCGGTGAGTCGGTCCATTAATTAGGCGAGCCACATTAAGCCAAGCATTAATATACTCCGCTGGCTGTTTTGTTTTATCCCGCAGGAAGGACGTAACCAACCCCCGGAGGTTGAAAGGGGGTGCCCAGGCGAAGGCCAAGAGGGGGAATTATTTCGACGGCGGCAGCCTGCTAATCCGACCTGCCATGCTACCGCCTTATCCCCAGAGACTGTTTAAATTCTGTAAATCGTCCTGAATATTCCCCTTTACCGCGTATCTACCTTTCAGCGGACACGTGCCACTGTTACCTATCTTATTCCGCGAAGATGAAGAAATCTAACTGCTAGACCCAAATTGGATTCAGTTTGTCTCGCCTAGCGTTCCTGTCTTGATCTTTAGACTTAAAATTAGAAATTGGTTACTGAAATCGTCTCACAGGCTTTTATCCTTATTTTATGCATCGTTGACGGTCAGTCGATTTACATGCGTGTTTAAGTTTACTCTTGAGTGTCCACAGTAGGTGAAGGCTGGTCCGTAACGATGTAATTTAACGGGCGAAAGGAATATTTCCTACGGAATAAATCTCGCGTAACAACGCCAGTGAAATCCTCGTTTACCCGGCATTCAACCCCTGCTAATGGGGGTAATTTAAGGGATGTTTTAAGCGGACCGCGCCACACGTGAGTCGCACAAAAAGTTCACGTATTACGACCGCGGCCGGCGCAGTAATCACGCATTAGCATTCCGAACGGTCGGTGTCGACCGAAGGCACCGCCGCGCCGGCTGAGAACGCCGCTTGAACTTTTACACGACCAACGAAAAACATCCCACAGTCACGTGAAATCGTCCAAACCGCTTGGGATTTAATAAAACGAAATAAAGAGCCGGCTAAACTGCATACGTTCTACCTCAAAAGGTTCCCAAGTCATAATCCGGATACTCAAATTGTTTCATCTGCTCATTATACTGACCAAACATTTGATTCATTGCTAACAAAGCGGCAGAACGTTTACCTTTGGCTTTCGCGAAGTGAGTCATTATATTGTGTAAGTACCGAACCAATGACGCCAAGAGTTCTTCGAGCGCATTGGAAAATGTGAAACCGGTCGAGGCAATCATCGTTCCGGATAATTTTCGTTTAGGGACCGTTTAACGACGACGGAAACGACGTAACGGACAAACGGTCTGTTTAACAAGTTCTTTCGCGCCGATAAACGCGTCCACGGTGTCTCCACTCTTTTTCTCTTCATATTTCCCAGGCCGTACCTTTGGGCAGACCGCGGTTAATGAAATTCTAGTCAGGTCGCGACATTCTTTCGTCAGGTGGCGATGCCACCTACTCTCTCTTTCCACCCTCGCGTCGTTGCCTACCTCGTTTCTTTCTTCCGTCCCGTTTCTTCCTGCCCCTTGTTTCTAACTTGTCTCTCCTTTTTGGTATCTCAACATCTCCACCACCCCCGTCCACCGTTATTCCTCTCCTCCGGCACGAGAGGGTGACCGCAGTCTTTTGGAGTGTAAGGGGGCCAGAGGTAACGGGGGTTTGCGTTCGTCGCGGCGCGGAGGGTTGGTGGCTGAAATGGGGTGGTGTGCAGTCAGATTACGCTAAGCTATGCCCGTACGTGCTCGTATGGAAGTTCCACCCCTCACCGGGTTTGCCTCCCCGCCTGGGAAAATGTATTTATTGTTGTTTGTCCAGCATTCTGTATATGGCCACCGGAGAAGAGAGAGAGAGAGAGAGAGAGAGTGAAAGGGGTGACGGCGAGAGGGGATGGGAGTAGAGAATCGCCCGAGGTTGAAGTTGAAAAAAAATTGCCCGGGGGCGACCGCTAGGATGCCGAGCATAAATTTAAGCGACGCTCACACCTCTCCGCTCACTCCACCGCG